CAAAATGAAATTAAATTCCTAACTCTGTGAAAATAAGGATGGTGAAATTTAAGCAGAAGTATTATGATTGACGTGATACTACTGTACAATATAATGTAAATAGAATAATACAAAATATTTGTAACCAGACATGAATATTAGAAACTATAACTACGTCTTTTTACAAGACACGTGGCCTAATTAGCATCAACATCTTACTATCACGAAGCATTAGTGTAAAATATCGTGCACATATGCAATAAATCATATCCCAATAATGCCCATGAAGCCTTCGAATTCTGGGAGTTTGAAACCCACGCAACACAATTGGCATTCTCATGATTGTACTTGCCAAACAAGAAGGAAATTTCATACTCGTTCTTGAATATCTAGTTCGTGAACTCAATGGGCTTTTCAAATTGTCAAGAGCATCATCTTCAAATTGAAATGTAAAAATCATATTTTCAGGAAATGTAGATGTGAATCTACACCAGTGAGAATGATGTAAATTTACAATCTCATTTACTTTTCTTTTCTTGATTGGCAAGATTCATCTCCTAAAGATGTAAATTTGAGGAAAACAATCATATTTGCATTTTACATTCCCTTAAAACTTGCCTAGCGAAGAACTTTCCAGTCAACAAAAAATGTAAAACGGTCATTTCAAAGCACGAAAATGCTACTAGCTAAGATATTTCGTAAACACAACCTAATTGTTGAATCAAACCAAGAACCAACCAAACTAAATTCGAAGAATCACTTTAATCCCATACCAATTTGTAAGGAAAAAAAAAGGAAGTTTTAATGAAAAGTTCACGGTACTGTTCACTTTAACGAAAAACCATATTTTTACACTAAAAAGTCAATCCTGATACTATTCACTTTACCCTTTATTTTGTCCTTATCATTAAAACTCAATGTTTTCAAGCTCTTTTCATTAGTTTCCTAAAAAATAATTTCATGCCAAATGCAGAACTTTCCTAAAAAAGTGGTGCATCCAATACTCACCAAGTCCACTCATTCATCTCTCCCAAACAAACATTTAATTTTTACCATATCAACGGCTGTAGATTATCTTCCAAATCACTGGGCCACTAGGGAAATATTGTAGAACTCTTTGCTTAAAAGAAGCAAAAATAAAAAATCATTCTTCTATTGGCAAAAAATTTAAATAAAAAAAAATTCAGAGGCCATAAGCATAAGAGGGAGTGTTCATTTCGGTTTCAAACCCTTGTGAGTGTCATTGGCCTTCCCACCATATCTCCTCCTTAACCTCTCCTCCTTTCCCCTTCCGCTTCCCAAGCTCAAAGGGTAACCCCTCTCTCTCTCTCTGTGACCTAATATTTTTTATGTGGTGTTTATGTTGTTGACCTTGTATGTTGCTTAACTTTCGGAGTTCACATATTTTGTTGTATTTTCATTTTTGTTATAAACCATCATCAAAACGGTTTTTTCAGATCTCTGTTTTTTATTTTGGATCGCATAAATCTACCACTCTTCCCCTTCCTCTCTCTGCATCGCATACATCAACTGGTGTAAACGGTATATCTATTTTGTTGAATGTATCTTTGGTTCTTGTTTAGGGTTAGGGTAGCGATTTTTGCACTCCATTTCGTCGACTGTTTGTGCTCTTTCGGTGGTTTAATGCATTCTCATTTGGTTAACTCAATTACCAAGCACAAAAATAAGCTGGATCAGGACTCAGAAGTGCCAATCTATCAAAATAGTAGTCTAAATATTTGGCACCCTTTGTGATCCACGTTTGGTCGATTGCTTTCATTGGTTTTGAACCTTTTTTTGCTTACTCCTATCATTTTATGTGAAGCGTGGATTTGTTTATTTATTTTTTCTTTTTTCTTAACGATATAGTTTTCCTTTCACTCGCTTTCTACTCATTCCTTTTACCATATAATTAAGCTTATCATAATGTTTAGAAGTTCATATTCAGTTAGTGACTCAGTGTTACCAAATTTTTTTTGTTTTTTGGGAAATTGGCTGAAGTGATCATACAAATCCCGGTTGCTTGGTTATTCCGATTGCTGATATGATCAAAATTAAATACTGATGACATATTGATTGAACAATAGTCATTCCAACATTTGAGATCTGTAAAATGATCATTTCAACCAATATCTTTATTCATTTATTTATTTATTTATGAGTTTAAATGGTCTATTAGGGAAATGTATTAAAACTTTAAGCAACGAATTCCCATATGATCTTGCTAACTTCAAGCTGGAAATGTTGAGTTTACGTTGTTTTTATAACTTTGGAATGCAACAGATGGATTGTGATAGCTTTAGAGTTATCGAGAAGCAATTTGTCAGCTGGTTCCTTTTATTCTTACGTGATTAACATTGTTCAACAGTTGAAAACTGTTTCGGTCATATATTTTCAAAATTTTTAACTTAGGGTTCATTGTTGTTGCTGATCTGTTAATCCCTTGGAGTTTCTGTTATAATTTGTTTGATCACTTGTATAATTTTTATTTGTTGCTGTCTGGAAACATCGAATTCTATATTTTGCATGACATTGTCAAACTGTTGGAATCGTAGTGGATATTTTCCCTTGGCCTTCTTTCTGATTACAAGATCGGATGAGTTTGCAGGTGTTTGATTCTTTTCTAAGTAATGGCTGATAGGCGCCAGCACCCAACTATCACGGAAAAGTTTTCTGGTCATGAGCTACATCTGAGTTCCAGCCACTATGGGGTTATCCAGAGGCCTTCTATCAATCAAAGGCGCTTTTCATATGGAAGTTATTCAAATGCAGCATTGCAATATCCCATGAACCAAGCATGTCGAGCTAATGATCCGTTGGTGGGTTCACGTGCCTTGCCTGTGTGTATCGAAGCCCCAAAGGAGAAAGGATTTTCGGGCTTTGCAATTGATTTTCTAATGGGTGGCGTTTCTGCTGCTGTATCCAAGACTGCTGCTGCTCCAATTGAGCGTGTAAAGCTCTTAATTCAAAATCAGGATGAGATGATCAAGGCTGGCAGGCTTTCTGAACCCTACAAGGGAATTGGAGATTGTTTTAGCCGAACAATGAAAGACTGAGGGGATGGTAGCATTGTGGAGAGGAAACACAGCAAATGTCATCCGTTACTTCCCAACTCAGGTAACTACGTCCATCTTTTTATCGCACTCTATCTCTTTTATCTGTGAGTCTTACAGCAGTGTGCTTACGTTGTTTTCCCTTTGTTCAGGCCTTAAACTTTGCGTTTAAAGATTACTTCAAAAGCCTGTTCAATTTCAGAAAGGACAAGGATGGCTACTGGAAATGGTTTGCCGGTAACTTGGCATCTGGAGGTGCTGCTGGTGCCTCTTCTCTATTCTTTGTCTACTCTTTGGATTATGCTCGTACCCGTCTTGCAAATGATTCCAAGGCTGCAAAGAAGGGAGGAGAGAGGCAATTCAATGGCCTGGTTGATGTCTACAAAAAGACTCTCAAGTCAGATGGCATTGCTGGCCTTTACCGTGGCTTCAACATTTCTTGTGTCGGAATCATTGTGTACCGTGGTCTGTACTTTGGAATGTATGATTCTTTGAAGCCTGTGATCCTCACTGGAAAGTTGCAGGTAAGTGGATTGCTTGTGCACTAAGTCATATTTCCACTGTCCATATACACAAACTAATGGGGATTATCTCACATTTTTTTGGAAATTTCAGGATAGTTTCTTTGCTAGCTTTGGTCTTGGTTGGGTTATCACCAACGGTGCTGGACTTGCATCTTACCCAATTGACACTGTCCGTAGAAGGATGATGATGACATCTGGTGAAGCCGTCAAGTACAAGAGCTCGCTCGACGCTTTCTCTCAAATCCTTAAGAACGAGGGTGCGAAGTCTCTCTTCAAGGGTGCTGGTGCTAATATTCTTCGTGCAGTTGCTGGTGCGGGTGTGCTTGCAGGTTACGACAAGCTTCAGGTGCTAGTGTTCGGAAAGAAGTATGGTTCTGGTGGAGCTTAAGTAAAACTGAACGGACAACGGCACCCCCAGATAGCTACAGATATTGATGAAAGAAAACATCATTTCATATCTTGAGTTATATTTTAAAATTTTGGAATTAATTAATGGGATTCTCACTGAATAACCTAGTTTAGAGGATTTCGTCTCCCTAAACACCATATTCTGGGAGTTTTGTTCGCATTATCCTGGCTATAAGAGCTGTTGCAACCTCCTACTGTTAAATGTTTAGGCTTAATTATATGTATTAATGTTGGTATCTGAGGCTGTGTTTCATATGCTGTCATAATCTTCTCTCTCGCTCTTTGTTTCTTGAATGTTTTGATGGCATCAGTCCACGTTAAACATACACATTTAACAATGCTGAACTCTCCTTACCTCTACAGTGGCAGAAAACAATCATGTCTACGTACCTTGCTGCAAGTTCAGTCCATATCAATTCCCTCCCCTAACAATTAACTACCTATAACCCACTATCTAAACCCTGTGGTGACTAGTAACGGGGAAGCAATTAGAACTATATATGACAAGGGTAGTGCTCTCCACCCATCCCTTTTTATCTTTTACACACTCCTCTCAATTTCCGACCGTCGGCTCAAATGAATTGAAGAGGTTCAACAAGGATATGTGAGAAGTAAAAATGAGTGAATAGCACCACATAATGCAATAATCATAGGAAGCGTCTTTGCTTTCTACCATGGTGGTCATGGCAAAGTACTAAGAACTGTTATTTATTTTATTTTAAGGCTTTTAACCAAAATGGTTCATGAATCATGAGATTAGCTTAACTCCTCACTTTGGTCCTGATGTTTAATATAACCATGTATTTAAACTAAGGAAGTGGGCCGGTCAGAATAAACTGGTTCGAATTTTCCTTCGATAAGAATTGAACCTAAAACCTCTCACTTACAAGTGAAGAGGAATACCACTAGACAATAATATACTAAGTGGCGCTTAGAAGTATAGTTAAGTTAAACTATATATGTACTACCTTTAGAATGAGATTGCATATAAGGGTACCAAAAAATGCAATGTTATAGTGTTTGATACTGAGTAAAATGATCAAAAAGGGCATAATATTGGATGTGATGTTAATTTAAATGTTTGGCAAATAAAGGTCCATTTGTCTTGTTAACTCAATCAAACAATCATATATATGTTTCGACTGAGGGTGTGATTTATCTCTGACGATAAACTCATAAACAATGCCATTCACCTCTATTGAGCTACAACCAGGACTCTTCTCTACTCCTCGCTCCTTCATCAAATTCTGTATCTTCTCTGCTTTTTCCCACATATGTGATTCCCTATATATTTTACCAAGCAAAATATAAATTCCGCCGTCAAGAGGGTCTAACTCAAGAAGCTTGGAAGCTGCTCTTTCTCCGATCAAAACGTTTTTATGAACATAACAAGCAAAGAACAATGCACCCCAGACCCCAGCATCCGCCTTCATTGGCATGCTATTGATAAGCTCTTCTGCTTCACGCAAAAGTCCAGCCCTACCTAGAAGGTCCACCATGCAAGAGTAATGCTTAACTTTGGGGCAAAGATTGAATTTCGATTTCATTAACGAAATGTACTTACGACCTTCTTCAACCAAACCTCCATGGCAACAAGCTGATAACACCCCAAGAAAGGTGATCTCGTCTGGCTCCAATCCCGTTTTGATCATCTCTGCAAAGTAAGCTATGGCATCATGTGCATGTCCGTTATGGGCAAGACCACAAATAATAGCTGTCCAAGTCAGAGAGTTTCTTCCTGGCATGTCCCAGAAAACCTTGAGAGCCTCTGTGATGTTCCCACATTTAGCATACATGTCAACAAGGGCAGTCCCCAATGCAACATTTAACGAAAGAGCCTGTTTCTCAATATAATGATGAATCCATATTCCGACCTCAAGTGCTCCAATTTGTGAGCATGCGGATAAGCAGCCAACCATGGTTATTTCATTAGGACGTATATTTCTCGCTTGCATTTCATGAAACAGAGCCAGAGCTTCTTTCCCATGCTTGGCTTGGACATAGCCGCTAATCATTGCATTCCATGGCACGACATTCTTCTCCGGAATCTCATACAAAAGCCTGCGAGCAATTTCCAGAAACCCGTATTTGGCATATCCAAATATCATTGTAGTCCATGAGACAATAGTTTTCTTTTTCATATTGTCAAATAAAGCTCGAGCAACCTCAAGATTCCCACACTTCACATACATGTCCATAAGCACATTAGCAAGAGGAATAGTCAAACTTAGTCCATTTTCTTCAATCAACCAATGAAATTGTCTCCCGATACTCAAATCTTCAAGTTGAGCACACGAAGAAACCACCCCAATCATTGTAACTTCATCCGGCATCACTCCTTCCACCTCCATTTCCCGATAAATCCTCAACGCCTCGCATGCCAACCCACATCGGACATACCCATTAATCAAAGAATTCCAAGAAACCAAATCTCTCACACAACTTTCATCAAACACCTTCTGTGCAGCCTCCAATTCTCTGCACGAAACAAGCATATGAATCACAGCATTGTGAACAAACATATCCAAATACAAACCCAAATGCATCACATGCCCAAGAACCTCACCACCCACAAAACTTAACGATAAATTAGCACAAACTTTCATCAATAACGGGTAAGTATAATTATCCGGTCTCGACCCACCATTCCTCAACATTTTCTTATACAATACAATCGCTTCCCTCGGATTTTTGCTCTCCGAATAGCCTCTAATGGCCGCATTCCACGAGAACGCATTTGGGTGCTGCACATTGCATAAAACCCTGATACAATAATCAAGATTTCGAGACTCTGAAAGCGCACAAAAGGCGATAAGGCGGCTCGAAGCGAACCCATCGGAGATTAAGCCGGTAAGGATCATCTGGGATTGGATTTGCTTCAGCTGGGACATGGATTTGCATGTTTCGAACAGGGAGAGTAGTGGGTTTGTTCGAACTGAAGTGTGGGTTGTGTTCCAACTGGTGGGTTTGTCTTTGTGGGGTGAGAGGGAGCGAGTGTGGAAGAGAGAGAAGAGGGGACGTTGTAGGGGATTTGGGACTGAAGTTGAAACTTCACACCAAAAATTACCAACAAGCTTAAACATTACAAATCAGCTCCAATTAAGCATAAATTCTTCACAGGTAAAAAATGAAATGAAAGAAAACGGAAATTGAGGGTTGGAAATTGTGGTGGGTAGTGTGTGTCGTGAAAAAATTGGGGGCTGCTGGTTCGCCTTTCCGGAGGTTTGGCGGGAGACGCATGCCCATTATGGCAACGGGATCGGGAACCACATTTTTGTAAGTATATCACCCTCTATGTTTTGATTGTCAATTTCATTACAATAAATAAGATTTAAATTATGATTGATAATCTTAATTGGTTTCCTTTGTTTATTTATTTATTTTGTAGGCTTTTATGATGCAGAAGAAGAACGAATATCTCACCAACCTCTTCCAGCATCAACTGAACGTGCCTATGAAGGCGCTAAGATATGATCCAAAGGTGTCTCTACAGTTGCTAATGGACGGGGTTGGGCAATGGAAGGCAAGAAACTTTGCGGCCTAGGAGATGGAGCTAGTGTGCCAAAAGAAAGAAGGTGAGCACCTACAAGAAGACGCGGCGCACTGACATAAGTGTTGCGCGCGACCGAAAATTAGTACGCATGTACTTCATTGCCGTATCCTAATGCTTGTTAGCTTCTGGCAATAGGATTCCCTAGCTCTCGGCCGACCTTCAGGCTATCTCCAATCGAATGAGAGCCAAAGAGCTATGTTTAACCCTGTAGCCCTGCAAAAATTATATTTTAATGAACAATATCATGCCATATTTTATACCATTTCCAACCGAAGGGGCCAAAAGGCCATAGGCCAAACATAGCCCTTTGACAAAAAACCGTCTCCAACCAAGAATGTCAAAGGGGCATAGGCCAAAAATAATTTATTATTTTAATTGAATTAATATGGTTAATTATTAAACTATCATATTAAAATAAGATTTTCGGACATATTGGAAGATTATTGAAAGAGGTGGTCATTTGAAAATTATTGAAAAAATTATAGGAAAGATTATTGGAAGAGGTAAGATGGTATAGAATGGGGAAAAGTATGTGAGAAATGGTGTAGGAATGACTTAAGTATTTATAGGAAAATAATTCGACCAAAAAAAAAAGGTGGGCTGGGCTTACGAGCTAGCCATTTCCACCTGGCTAAAACCACCAAATCAGGCCACCGAGCTAGCCATTTCCACGTGTTAGGCCCCACCTGATGTGGTGGTTTTGGCCAGATGGGGCTTGACACGCCCCAATCCTGATGTCCTGAGGGACATCGAGATGGCCACATGCTGACCAACACCTGAGGGTGACCCAAACCATTTCATGAATGCATATGCCGAGAACATGTAGAACATGCACATAAATTTCGAGCGTAACTACGCCAAGTAATATTCAAATATAAGTCTTACAAAATACAATAATAATATTCAACTGCCAACGATGAATCTAATGGTAATGCATGACATGTTTAGAGCATACAACTAATCCAGAGTACAAGCGAAAGGTAAAATAGAGAGGTGCTATTACAATATATGTCAAAGCAAAAGGATGATAAGATATCACTGATAGGGGAATGCCTCATATTGTGGATCATAGGCCTCGTTCTCGTATCGCGGATCGTAGGCATCGTTTCTATGTCCTGAAGGGGGCGCAAAACGAGCATGAGTGGACTAAGTGGATATATATATATATATATATATAATACTGACATAGTTATCAACGTAATAACCCCCAATGTTTTATGAAAACTCAATAGCATAATATGTAATAGGTTTTCTGAAAACCCTAGCATGCCATAAAACCTTCATACATATATCATATATAGTGTGCTAAGTAGTGGTGTCATAGTTGCCCGTTGTGCTAATATCTCCTAGCTCGAAGCCAATACATATATCTCTTAGCCCGAAGCCATCTACATAAATCTCCCTCGGCCCGAAGCCATCTACAAGTATCTTCGCCCATAAGCAGAACAATGACCGCAAGATACACACAAAATCAATGAACATAGTCTTTCCAAACTTAGGTGTATATATCTCAAAACATCTTCATAGCATATAGTCATCCATCATATATACTACAAAGAAGTGTAAAAACATGTTCATAAATAGTATATAGCCATCCATCATATATACTACAAAGAACATAAATTTGATAAAATATGGTAATCTAAAATATTTTCAGTAAAGAATGATAATCATAAAGTGTAAATCTAATTTACTCATAAAGCCAAACCATTAAATCATGTTTTTCATGTATGCATTTTTACTATTAAAACATGCATTTTAGAAGGGGTCCACTCACAAATACTCCGTCGTCGAATAGCCGTACAAAATAGGAATGACGGAATCGTCGTTAATAATTGCACCTAAGTACATAAAGGGTCTTATTAATAAAACTTTACTCAAATGATTGAATTTCGAAAAATGGGACCAGGACGTCAAAATTAGCCTAGGATGGGTCCTAGACAAAACTCGAAAAAAATCAACAAAAGTCAACGTTGACCGTTAACCGATCAGACGTTGACCGAAGTCAACGGTCAGCGTTAATTGAGGTCAACGGTCATAATGAGTCAACGGGTCTGGGTCGGGTCAATCAGGCCTAAGGTTTGGACTGATGGGTTTCAGGTTTGGGCTTTGTAGTCCGGCCCAAAGAATGCTGGATTTAGGGTTCTTAGGCTTGAGCCTCTGGGCTTGGGCCTGGGATCTTGAGTTGAAAGCCCAAGCTCACACGGCTCGAAGGCCGGTTCCTTTGGGTTTTTGGGTTAGGTTCCATTGGGCCTTGGGCTTGAAAGTTCGACCCAAGGTAAGGGTTTTGGGGTTTAAATAAAAAGTGTTTGGGTTTAGGGTTTTGTGAGCTGAATGTTCAGCGGGCCAAAGGCCCGATGTTGGTCATGGCCCAAAAGGCCTAGGTTTAGTGGGTCATGGGTTGTCTGGGTGTGGGTCTTTTAACTCGGTTCTCAACGGAATGAAGGCTGAGCCTCCTATGCTTTGGTCGACAGCGTTTTACCACCCTAGGGCACGATTCAAGTACTAAAATGAAGTGCAAGGCAAGAGGAAGTGTTTTTTTACCTTCAATACACCATGGAGTGGCCGGAGGTGGCCGGGTTTAGCTCGAGAATCGTGGGGGTTTGGTTGACTTGGTTTTGGGTGCCCTCTGGGTGCCCTGTAGCTTCACAGAGACGAAGAGAGAGAGAGAGAGAGAGAGAGAGAGAGTCACACGATGATGGTGATGGTGTTAGCGATTGTCTGGGATTGGGTTTGGGTAAGTGTGTGTGTCGATCGGGAAGAGGAGAGGGTGAGCTGCGAGAGAGATTCGAGAGTGAGAGAGAGAGTGCTCGGAGAGAATAGAGAATGACAGATACGTGAGGGAGCTACCACGTGGCAGGCAGAGACATGAGAGAATTTGAGAGAAAATCTATAAATTAGATCTAGATTGGGTAGAATAGTGAGGGTGAAAATGTAATCTCATATATTTTTAAATGAAAATGTGAAAGTACATAAAGTTTTAGGGGTGGGGTTTCACAATCTACTTCCCTAAAAGAATTTCATCCCGGAAATTACAATCTCGAATAAATAGATACGAATGCTGGCTTCTCATCAGTTTCTCCGTTTCCCAAGTCGTTTCCTCGACTGCATGGTTTCTCCACAACACTTTCATCAATGGAATGACTTTCTTCCTCTGAGTTTTCTCCTACCGGTTGATGATCACCACTGGTTCCTTAACATAGCTCACATCCTGATTCATTTCTAGCGATTCCAACTGAATAACATGAGAGGGATCTGGCACATACTTATGAAGCATGGAAACATGAAAAACATTGTGAATTTGTGCCAACTTTGGTGGTAACTCCAATATATAGACAACTGCACCAATTCTCTCTGTAATCTGATAGGGACCAACATATCAATGGCTCAACTTCCCTTGCTTAAATCGAACCACAACCTTCCAGGGAGACAACTTCAAGAAGACAAAGTCACCGATCTTATACTTCTGATCCCTAGAATGTCGCTCCACAATTCTTTTCTGTTGGTCTTGTGTTGCCTTTAGGTTCCTCTTTATCAACTGGATGTTAGCATTGGTACTGTCCACAATTTCTGGCATCACTAACAACCGTTCACCAACCTCTGTCTAACACAACGGTGTTCAGCACGTCTTCTCATACAATGCCTCAAATGGTGCCATGCCAATACTGGAGTGATAACTGTTGTTATAGGCAAACTCAACCAACGAAAAATAACTATCTCAGTTACCTTTTCACTGGAGAACAAACACTCTTAACATGTCCTCCAAGATCTGAATCTTTTTTTCCGATTGATCATCGGTCTGTGGATGATAGGTAGTGCTATACAACAGCTGAGTATCCATGGCGTCATTGAATGCTCTCCAAAACCTAGAAGTGAACCTTGGATCTCTGTCTAAAACGATAGTGATAGGTATACCATGAAGTTTAACAATGTTATCGATGAACAACTTTGCTAACTTCTCTAGTGTATAGGTCTGTCAAACAGGCAGGAAATGAGCAGTCTTGCTGAGTCAGTCTATAATCACCCAAATACCATCAAACCTCGACTGCGTTTTCGGCAACCTATACACGAAATCCATGGTCATGTCTTCCCACTGCCATGCTAGTATCGGGAGATTCTGCATTAACCCTTCAGGTCTTTGCCTCTCTACCTTCACCTGCTGGCAAATAATGCATCTCTTCACATACTCTGCCACATCTCGTTTCTTCTCATAATAGTAGTATAATGGACGGATAGTGTGATATAGCTTGGTGGCTTTCTGGATGCATAGCATACGCCGAGATGTGGGCTTCATCAAGATTTCTTTCTTCACCGCTTCATTATCCTTAGGCACAAACAGCCTATTTTCCATCACCAAGACTCTATCTCTTCAGATTTTCAAATCTCGTCTCAACCTATCCAGTTCCTGCTTCTTTAGGTTTGCACACTGTTGATCAAGTTCCAAAGCTTCCTCTACCATATCCACCAAAACAGGTCTAACTTGGAAGTATGCTAACAAGGTTCTTTGTGGATCTGGCATCATGATGACGTCAGTTTCTCGAAGAGAAAACAATAACGGAACATGGATAGCTCAAAGGGAGGCAAGCTGTCCATAAGACTTCCGGCTAAGTGCATCCGCTACGATATTGATGTGTCCAGGATGATACTCGATAGTGTAGTTATAATCACTAATGAGCTTCATCCACCTTCTCTACCTCAAATTCAGTTCTTTCTGGGTGAAGGCGTA